ACATGTTTGCTTCAAAATGAACTTCTGCATCTGCACGCACTTTTATAACAACTACTCGGCTCTCTCTATGGCGTCCATGATCCTGCTTACCTGCTTCTGTCATGACCTCAGCTATAACGTTAGCTGTTGTTCAAGGAGGGCTGACATAGGACTCCAAGGGCACCTGGCTAGTGAGCCTCACCTGTGGGAAAACGTCTCCTAGCTGCTCCATCGTTGCCGGGATTGAGCGTGGCAGGGGCGTCAAGGAGGACTGGTTTTGCACATTTGTGGGCAATTTGTTTGATTTTTTTCTGGCCGAGGTACTTGTAGATTTTCCCTTTTATGTTTTATTTCAAAACTTTTAACAAAATGTGTCTGGGTATGACTCTCTTTTCACCAATTCTGCTAGAGTGTAGAAAGGCCAGCTAGTCTGCACATATAGTCTATGCATTTCCTTATGAAACTGTTGACTTTGTAGTTTCAAAATGGTTCAGTATTGGCAGTTTTGTATGGTCCAGTCTAGGAGTTCTCTCTTGAATACTCTTAAGTTTGTTGCTTATTTTTTTTAATAAATTTCTTGAGAAGAGTTTTTAGATTTATGGAAAAATCACAAAGGAAGTATAGAGAATTTCTATATGTCTCTCACCCAGTTTCCCCTATTATTAACATCTTACTTTAATATAGTACATTTGTTATAATTAATAAATCAATATCCATTCATAATTAACTACAGCTCATACTTTATTCAGATACTCTTAGTTTTTTTATTTTTTCCTCTAGTGTCCTTTTCTCCTCCTGGATCCCATTCAGGATACCACATTATATACAGCTGTCATGTCTCTGCAGGCTCATTTTGGCTTAGGCATTCCTTAGTTTTGAAGACCTAAAAAGTTTTGAGGAGTCCTGGTCAGGTATTTTGCAGGATGGCCTTCAACCAGAATTCACCTGATGTTTTTCTCATTGTTAGACTGGGTTTATAGGTTTGGGGGATCATATCAAAGGTATAGACTATCAACAAGACTTATCCTATAAATGCTGACCTTGGTCTCTTGGCCAAAGTAGCATTTGTCAGGTTCTTCCACTCCGAAGTTACTCTTCTTTCCCCCCTTTTCATCCTGTGCTCTTTGGAAGGAAGACACTTAACAAGTGAGTACTTACGCTCCACTTCCTTGGGCCTGAAATATCTACACAAACTATTCGGAATTCTTTGGCACAGAAGATCTGTGTATTCACTCCCATTTACCTACTCATTCATGGGCATTTGCTTTATACTTTGGGTTATAGTCTAACACTACTTTTACTTTATTGCTCAAAGGTTGCAGTTCTGGCCACTGGGAGCTCTTTCAGCGGCTACTTCGGTTGGCTGGTGGACAATTCTGACACCGCTCCCCCCACCAAATCAGGGTGTGTTGTTGAGGTGGTTTGAGCATGTCCTCAACTTTCTGGCACTACAGGACGCTCCAGGATCATTTTGTGTGTTTCGTGTCCCAGTCCCAGGTCAGCCATTTCTCCAAGGATCCCTGGGTCCTTTCCATGGAGAATGGCATTAGAAACCAAGATCTGGGTGGTAGCTGAGCTTGCTGATACTCGGGTGCCTACTTTGTTTCAGATTTTGGTTCTGTTTCATGTGTCCCAGTGTTTGCTTAGCATCTCCCTTCTCCCGTGTCCATAACTTATCTTTCCTCTCATTAGATTGATCTCTTTGACTATTTCCTCTGAATTTTGGGAAAGCATTTCAAGTTTGTCCTGCATATTATTGATTTTTATTTTTCATGGCATTAACTCTGCTCTCTACTGCCTCCAATGCAGACTTTAATTCCGCTAGTCACTATTTAGTTTCCTTCCGTGTCCACTGTACTTCCTTCTCTATCTTACCCCACCAGATATCTGCTTCTTCTCTGAGCTCTCCAGAAGTTACTTTTCTCTGAGTGCTTTATTCTTGCGTTCTGTTGGCTTTGTCTGTCCAGATTTGGTATTTGGTTTATGCCCACTCAACAAATTTGTTGGGCAAATTAGGTTTGGTTCCAGGTGGTGAGGAATAAAACAGTGATCCAGACATACAGAAACTTCTGCTTCCTACAGCTTTCACCCTAGTGGGAAGAGACAGATGACAAAACAACCGGGAAAAACAAATAGGAGGTCAGATATTGTTATGGGTTGATCTGCATCTCCCAAAGAGATGTTGAAGTCTTAACCCCTGATACCTCAGAACGCGACCTCATTTGAAGACAGCATCATTGTATTAATAGATGAAATCAGTTAAGGTAAGTTCAGACTGGAGCAGGGCAGGCTCTTAATCCTCCAAGACTAGTTTCCTAAGAAGAAAATGATGTGAAGGAAAAGAGGGGAAATGTCAGCTGGGGCAAAGGAGTTACACAGCTGCAAGTCAAGGATGCCAAGGATTGCCAGTTGACACTAGAAGCTTAGAGAAAGGTATGGGAGAGTCCCCGAGCCTGCTATAGAGCATGGGCTTGCCAACATCTTGACCCCGGCCTTCTGTCCTTGAGATGCGAGAGAAGAAACTGTTGTTTTAAGCCCCCTAGTTTATGGTGCTTTGTTATGGCAGCCCCAGGAAACGGATACGGATCTCCATCAGTGAAATGGAGGAAATCAACAGAAACGGGTAGTGGGAGTGTGAGGAGCCGGGATTTAAATTTTAAATAAAGCCTCTGGGAAAGGCAGACCACTGAGAAAAGACTGGAGGAAGGTTCGAGAAGTAGCGACGCAGGTGGTGAGGGAAGAGCTCCATGTTGAGGGGAGCCTTTGCCAAGAGGCTGAGCGTGCTGTCCTTGGCTCTGCTCTCCCGGGCGTATGTGATGCTGGAACCCTCTCTCAGAACCGCAGCTGTGTGGGGCGGTGGGGGAGCTGGACCGTGGTCTTGCCCAGATCCGAGTTTGAATTCCAATGCACCACTTTCCAGCTGGGTGGCTAGGGGTGAGGTCCTTAACCTTCTTGCACCTCAAGTTCCCCATTTGTGAAATGAGGATACAAAAATTCCCTCTGTCCCGGGGCTCCGGGGAGGGCTGAATGGGCAGGTGAAGCCGAGAGCTCCAGCCCTTGCTCAGGGCCCTGGAAAGGCCGGCTGCTATTTCCATCAGCATTCAGATCACTCCCGCTTCTGGTGGCGCTGGCTGGCTGGTTAGCAGAGCACCAAGTTCTATCCCCAGTTTCTTGCAGACTCTGAACTCGTGCGTCCGCTCCACACACAAAGGCTCTTCACATTTTAAAGCCCACCGAATTCCGCCGGGCCCCTCATGGGCAGGAAGCTCTTTCCAGGGCCCGGCCTGGGGACTGCGCGGGGCAGGAGCATGTTCGCAGCACCGGGTGCCGATCACCCCAGGCGGTCCCTGCAGAGCGAGCACTCCTCCCCTCCGGATGCGCTGGGCCCCACACAACCCAAGGCCACCCTCAGATCACATGGCCTGTGGGGCCAGAGCTGGGCACACACCTGGGCTGCCAGCAGGCCCCTCCTCACTACCGCTTCCTCATCGGCAGAGGCTTCCGGGGCTGAAACTCCCTCACGGGCAGGAAGCTCTTTCCAGCACCCGGCCTGGGGACTGCGCGGGGCAGGGGCATGTTCGCAGCACCGGGTGCCGATCACCCCAGGCGGTCTCTGCAGAGCGAGCACTCCTCCCCTCCGGATGCGCTGGGCCCCACACAACCCAAGGCCACCCTCAGACCACACGGCCTGTGGGGCCAGAGCTGGGCACACACCTGGGCTGCCAGCAGGCCCCTCCTCACTACCGCTTCCTCATCGGCAGAGGCTTCCGGGGCTGAAACGCCACGGGCCCGTGCGGTGTCTGCGCCCGAGCAGGTGACAAACACCGGTGCTCTGCTCCCTGTCCCCATCCCTGCGTCTCCGCCTCCCCACGTGTGAACTGGGGGCTTCGTAAGCTCGAAACTGCCACCTGCTCTGATCAGTAGAATCTGGGATCAGGCCAAGAGAGAAGGGACATGTCAGCAGGTGGCATCTGAGGCCCCAGGCTACTTTCAATGTGGGCATGGGGACTGGAAGAGTAGGTGACAGCTCTGAGTGCGTCTGTACCTACGTACAGCCCCCAGCAGCTCCCCGCTGCCTGGCATAAAAGACCAGACTTCTTAGCTCAACATTCAAGGCTCGTGGGAACTGGCTCCAAGTGCTATTTCCACCCTTGGCATCTTTTCCGTGTCCCCATCCCGACACTCCAGCTTCCTGGAATTGCTGCTGATCCCCAGGGCACGGTGAGCACGGCCGCCCTGCCCTCTGATTTTCACCCTGTGGGTCTCCACCCTGCCCGTCCTCCGTGGCTGCCCCTTCTCTGCAGCCGTGTCTGAGCCCACTCCTGGGTGGGGTGAGTCACTCCCTCCCTGTGTTCCCCGGCCTCTCTGTTCCCGCTTTCCCTGGGAGGTGTCTGCCTTCAGACGCCTGAGGACGCAGGCAGGCCTGACGATGGCTGTGAACCCAGGAGACGGTCTGGCACAAACATGGCGTTTGAGAGAGTTTGGGAAATGAATGTGCAGATGACAGCGGGCGACTCCTTAGAACCGCAAACATCTAGTTGACCCTTCTGTTCCTGGAGTGAGCATCACTGGAGGGGGTCAGGAGCCTGAGCTTTCAGTTCCAGCCACATTACTTTCTTGCTGTGGGTCTGGGCAATAGAGGTTCTCACTGTGAGCCTCCTCGGAGCAGGAAGGAAGCCCCTGAAGGCAGGGGCCAGGTCTGAGTCATCAGTGTTCCCCACTAGCCTGCCCTTGAGTGGGCGCCAGGGATGTCTGTCGTGCCCTGCCTGCCTCTCAGGCTGCGCCGAGAGATGCGAAATCACCCAGCAATTCCACATGGCCACGCACCTGGCAAGCAGACCTCTGGCCAGTGCTGGACAATAAGCAAGGGACAGCCAGCTCCTGGGAGCTTGTCCTCACATCTCAGATGCCAAGGACAAAATGAAACAGCCTGAATTCAAGACTCCTTCGAAGTCAGGGATTTGGAGGACCCCAGGGGCATGCCATCAGCCTGGCCTCCAGGCCGGGCCAGCCGCACCTACCTTAAGCTTTTTGACACTGGTGCAGGGATCATTGGAGAAGCTCTCGGTGTCCGAAATCTCGATGTCCTCGCCGTACAGAACCCCGGTGAGGTCGTTTCTCACCTGCCAGCAAAGAGAGGAGAGAGGGTGGGTGTGCCGGCAGTCACAGGACGCGCCACTTCACGGGGGCCTGGGCAGCGGCCCGAACAGGCGAGGTGATTTTCTCCACCGATGTGAAAAAGGAGTGGGTTTTATCTTCATTAAAAACTAGATTGCCCCCTGGGACTTTGGAGGTTCCCCTCCCCTGAGGACACACAAGCAGAAGGAGGCCAGACAGGGAAGGGACTTACTAAAGTTGCCCAGGAGTTTCCTGGAAGAATTAAGACAAGCATCCAAGTCGCTGGACTTTCATGCTGTGTTTCATATCATCTCCAAATCAGATTAGGCAAATACATCACACTGTCCCCAAATTAGACTATTTAAATATTTCTCTATTTATATTTTTCATTATTTATTTGCAATATTACCTGATTTCCAGGGTGGGGAAATAGCTGAGATATTCAGACAGACAAAGCAAAAACAGAGGGGGCGCGGAACCAGCCTGTGATGTTAAACACAACGATGTATCTGCGGGCACAGAATGACTAACATCTACGTGCTTAAAGCAGAGAGCTGCAAACCCGTGTTCACACGCACTAACCAGTGTGTGATGCGGTCTGTGTGGAGGGATGCTAGGGAGGGGTGGGGCAAACTAATGCTTCACCTAAAGACAGCACTTGCTGCTCAACTCCAAACATGCTATGCCAGAATGTGGGTCCAGAATCACCAGACCTTCTGATTTGGAAGGGAGAAATAAGAAATCTATATTTTTATTTATTTTTGGGCCACACTGCACAGCAAGCAGGATCTTAGTTCCCCAACAAGGGACTGAACCCGTGCCCCCTGCAATGGGAGCAAGGAGTCTTAACCACTGGACTACAGGGAAGTTCCTAGATTTTTAAACTAAAGTAGGATCCCTCACGTCTTAAGGGGCTTCCCAGGAGGCGCTAGTGGTAACAGGAAGATCCCCTAGAGAAGGAAATACAAGCCACTCCAGGATTCTTGTCCGGAGAGCCCCTGGACAGAGGAGCCTGGCAGGTTACAGTCTTACAGAGCATCTCAGCATGAGCACACTTTAAAATGTTGACACTATTTTCAAATTAAAAAAAAATAAAGTTAGGATCAAAACAAATAAATCTGAAATCTGTATGCGGCCCATGTCTATGACTGTACACCCTTGGACAGAAAGCCATGGAGCCTAGACTGTGTTTTAGTAGAAATAACCAGATGGGAGACTGGGGGCCCAGGTTCCAGGTCTTGCTCTGTCACTGACTTGCTTGTGACCTCAGCCTCTCTGAGGGACGCTCTCCCTCTTACCATTTCAGTCTCTTCCTCTTTAACTGAAGACGAGCTTTGAAAGCACTTCTTGTCTATACTTATTAAGATAGCTATTATCAAAAACCAAAACCCTGCAAGCGTTGTTGAGGATGTGGATAAACCGGAAACTGGAACCTTGAGCACTCTAAAAATTTCCCGCAATATGGTAATATGATCCAGCAACTCTACTTTGGGTATATACCCAAAAGAAGTGAAAACGGGGACTCAAACAGGCATTTGCACGCTCGTGTGCATAGCAGCATTATGCCAAAAGGTGGAAGCAACCATCTTTAGGAAGCAATGTCCATCAACAGATGAGCAGATAATAGACAGTGGAATATTATCCAGCCTAAAAAGGAGTGAAATTTTGACACGTGCTACAATATGAATGAAGACATTATGCTAAGTGAAATAAGCCAGATGCAAAAGGACAAAAGTATGCTTCCACTTAGGTGAGGTGCGTACAGTGGTCCAGTGCACGGAAACACAGAGGAGAACAGTGGTTTCTAGAGCTGGGGGATGGGCCAGTGGAGCTGTGGGTACAGGGTTTCTGTCTGGGGTAATGAAACGTTCTGGGGATAACGGGTGCTGCTTCCTGCACAACAACATGAAGGTACTTAACATCCCTGCACTGTAAACTTTACAGTGGTAAAACGGTAAATTTGATGTTACGTACATTTTACCATGTTTCAACAACTGATAGATCCTCCCAATGTATATATCGAAATGTTTTGAATAATTTGGCCCTGAATGTTGCAGGATGGTCACTGGGAAGCCCCCACTACAGAAGGGGAACAAAAAGGGCTGTGGTGGGAACTGCCATATTTCATTTTTTTTAAAGAAATATGATGCCAATAGAGGGAAACGTGAACACATTAACTCTGGGTAGCAAGACCATGGGTGTTGAGTGTTCTGTGCTCTGCTGAATGCTTGAAATACTTTGTGATATGCACGTTTGTAAGAAGAATGAAACTGTCTCAGTCAGGGTGAACCTTGTCCATCTTTAGTTTTTACCTGTATTTTGATGGAAGATTGGGAACTAGTTGGTTGAAAAAAAGTTGACTTTGCCATTATGGCTTATCTCTGCTGTGTCAAATCCTTTTTGGATGCAGACGGGTTCCATTATTAGGTTTATGTGTCATGGGAGTGCTGTGGACCAACAATTATCGATATGCAATATTAAAATGTGCAAGTTTGGCCCTGCCAGAAGGCAAAGCAGCCAACGCACATACTACTAAGGCATGCACAGGCGAGCCCTGGCTCTCTGTGTCCTTGCCACCCAAAGTGAAGGAACCTTGTTGAACTCTTTTGAATCTCAGTCTTTTCACCTATAAAATGGGAGTTAAACAGCATGTAACTTACAGGGCCCAGCAAAAACACTGAGGATGGGAAATGGCTTTGTAAATTCTAAAGTTCTTTACGCTGCCTAAAAGCAGGAATGATCATTTCCAGGTATAAGACCCAGCATCAAGGCTGTCAGTGGCTTGGAGTATCTATCTGTAAATAAGTGTGGGCATGAGAGCTGTATATAATTACGGCAGAAAAAAATATTTTATAGGCGCTCAGAACTCGAAACAAACCAACCCCAAACACCCTAGAGGTCATCTCATTTTGCTCCTAATTTCACAAATGAGGAAGCTGAGGTGTGACTCCCAGGCCAGTGCTCTCTGAATGGTCCCAAGCTGGCTCTTTTGGATCCTGCCAGATGTGGACAGCTCCTGAGGCTCATGAGCCAGAACAGGTCAGAACAGACGGCTGGTGCCGTCAGCCACTCACTGACCATAATTTCAGCACCAAGAAGTCTACCCAGCTGGAGTATTTACTCTAATGGACATTTTTAGGGAAAACAAATGCAAAAAACTGGTAATAAATGATATTTTAAAATAACCAAAGCATGATAAAGAACTAATGCAATTGATCTACCTCACAAGGAAATAAATTCATACTCTCACATGTAGAAGGAAAGATCATTCAATGCACTGGTCAAAGATTATTAAGTTAGAAAAAACACCTTCCTTTTTTTTTTTCCATTCTGGTACTGCAAGTATCTCTTGTTTTACGGGGCCAATGTCTTTTATCAGCTTGCTATAAATTGCATTTCAGCAAAGTGAATCCTATTTTTCATTCATCTCTACTATAAAAGCAGAAATATGTTCTTCCTGGAAAGGAGTAACACTTAATTCTCAAGAAAATAAAATACATTCACACATACACATATGCTCAAGTATAGCCAGAGTCCAACTGGGCCCTCATCTGCACATGGGGCCTCGGGAGGCAGCCATCAGGAGTCTGATTTGCCAAAGGCCCCGGCCATCCTGGGAGGAAGGGAGAGAGATGGGTGCTGATGGGCCGGGAGGGGATGGAGAAGGCTGCCAGTTGCTTGGAAGGGAGGGTCAGGCTGCCAATGGAATGAGGAAGACAGTGAGTCAGGCCCCGAGCGCTGCTACAAGGGGGACGAGGAAGAGCTGAGAGTCCTCAAAGCCTGGGTCCTCAGGGCCAGCTCACAGGGCTGAGGCTGCCTGAGGGAAGAGCTCCCCCTGCTTATGGAGCGATGAGTCCCGGCCCGGGCCACTGGAGCAGATCTGGAAGGAACCCAACTCACTTGGCATCAGGGAGAACCAGGGGCCAGAACTCTAGGAATACATGATAGAAAATAGGCTTAGAGGCAACAGCTGTTGACTTTTTTCCCCTTAAGAGCTGGTATGGACTGTGGATACAAAGTCACACCAGAAAGCCTGTCCCTAAAGCAGTGGTTCTTAAAGTGCAGCCCTGGACTAGTAACACCAGCATCACCTGGGAGAACCTGCTAGAAAGGCAAATTCCTGGGTCCACCTGAGACCCACTGGGTCAGACCCTCCAGGATGGGGTCTAGCAGCCTATGTTTTAATCGGCCCTCCAGGTGATTCTGACATATGTTCAAGCGTGAGGACCACTGTCCTAAATGAGGCAGGATAACTTCTAAGTGACCCATTAAATGGTATGAAAAAAAATGCTTTCTATGGCTTGGATATTGTCCCCTTGATTAGGAGACCAGGATGTGTTGCTGTGAGTGAGGCAGTTGCCAAAAGGGTGAGTAGGACTGGGACCCACATTTAAAAAGACGTCACATCTAGGACGATGGAGGGGACAGTCACCCTCCAGTCTGCCCGCCGCAGAGTGCACCTGGAGTGATGGGCTCAGTTCTAGTTGCATTTATCAGGAACCATGACGGGCCCAGAGGAGAGAGGTGTGGCTGCAATAGGGGCCAAGAATCTTCTAAGAAAGACCGTGGACATGGGGGTGGAGGGGTTGGAGGATAAAGGTCACAGTGGGTGATATCAATGACTCCTCAGGGATTCCGGTACAGCCTTGGGAATCACAGATCCAAATCCAAGAACTGTAACACTTAAACTCATATTTCAAGCCTAGGGAAATCCAACATCTTGAAAGAGGTCAAGAGCCAGGCAGAGTCAGTGGCTTTAGGGTAAAGCTCAGAGCTCGAAGCGCCGTTCTGCTCAGGCCAGCAGGAGAAGACGCCATCAGGTCAGATCAGCTGTCTGAACCGCGAGTCCCGGGGGCTGATCCACAACTTCCCTCCCAGCTTGGTTCAGGACCGTGGTAGAAGAGGTGACAGGGAGTTGTCACTCCGATGAAGCCATCACAATGGCCTCACTCCTCAGCTGCGCACACAGTCTCTATCCACAGGCTTAGGACGGGGGACACACAGC